TGATGGTAGAACGGTGAAAATTTAGGGTTGTTTGTATTTTTTAATGACAAATAAAAAAAATTAAAATATTTTTTTTTTCAAAAAATAAAAAAAAAATGGGGGTGGGCTACCCTTATCACTTAAGGGTATAAAAACAGATAACAACGTATTCTCAGACCTACTGAATATACATATAAAATTTCATCAAAATGAATCAAGCCGTTTCAGAGATGGTAACAAAAAATTAAAAAAAAAAATCCCCTATTAAAAAATAGGGGATGATGGTAGAACGGTGAAAACTTAGGGTTGTTTGTATTTTTTAATGCCAAATAAAAAAAATAAAAATATTTTTTTTTAAAATAAAAAAAAATGGGGGTGGGCTACCCTTATCACTTAAGGGTATAAAAAATATATAACAACCTGTTTTCAGACCTACTCAATATACTTATAAAATTTCATCAAAATCGGCTAAGCCGTTTCGGAGATGGCAACAAAAAAAAAATAAAAAACAACCCCTATTAAAAATAGGGGATGATAACAGAACGGTGAAAATTTAGGGTTGTTTGTATTTCTTAATGCCAAATATAAAAATAAAAAACATTTTTTTCTTTTCAAAAACTAAAAAAAAATGAGGGTGGGTTACCCTCTCGGCTACCCTTATCAGTTAAGGGTATAAAAATAGATAACAACTTATTCTTAGACGTACTGAATATACATATAAAATTTTATCAAAATCGGTTAAGCCGTTTCGGAGATGGTAACAAAAATTAAAAAACAACCCCTATTAAAAAATAGGGTATGAAAGTAGAACGGTGAGAATTTAGTGTTGTTTGTATTTTTAATGCCAAATAAAAAAAAATTAAAATATTGTTTTTCACAAAATAAAAAAATGGGGGTGGACTACCCTTATCATTTAAAGGTATAAAAATATATAACTACCTATTCTCAGACCTACTGAATATACATATAAAATTTCATCAAAATCGGTTAAGCCGTTTCGGAGGAGTACGGTAACCAAAACTGTAACACAGGAATTATATAAGATAATATTATATGTAAACTGGCGGAGTGCGGAGAACGGAAAGACTGATTATAGCAATAGATAAAATTTAAAACTATAATTTAAAACTATTCAAGAAAGTACACACAAAACAAGGCAACGCCGCGCGTCTATTCGTTCAATTCCGAGCAAAATAGCGAGGCTCCACGAAGTTGGGGCCTCGCTCGCCAAAGCGAGGCCCCATCGACAGGTCAGATTTTGATGCCAGACGAGACTTCTAGGGTATTAAGATATTCTTTGCCCAAACGAAGGGTGTCTCACTATTGGAATTACATGTACATTTTCTTGGCAGTCATTGTCAGTCTTATGGCAGTCGCTGGCAGTCATTGTCAGTCTTATGGCAGTCGCTGGCAGTCATTGACAGTCTTATGGCAGTCGCCTATAATAATTACATGGCAGTCATAGGCAGTCTTCCTCGTAGTCATGGGCAGTCGCTTGACAGTGAAAAATTATTTTGGCAGTACGTGTACATTTTTTACCCGAGTGAGACACCCCTCGAGCCCAAATCTCCCGTTTAGACAACATTAGGAACGAGAGAATACGAGAAAAAAATAAAGGTGGAGGGCAACATTGTGTAAGAACTTAAAAAAAACTGCAATGGTACGGCCATGCACAACGAATGGCTGACGAGAGAATACCAAAGCAAGTCTTACAGTAGTATAAAACAGCAGGAATAGATGGGATTTTTCCTGCCCTTCTAAGGAAGGGTCAGGAAATAGCTACACTCCATCTATTAAACATTACAAGAAGCAGGTTAGCGATAGGATATATACCAACCATCTGGAGAAGAGTGACTGACTGGGCTAAACCCAAATCATTAAGGCCTATTAGTCTCACATCGTTCATATTAAGAACGATGGAGAAAGTAGTGGACAACCGTATTAGAGTAAATCATCTATAGGTTAAACCACTGCACGATAGTCAGCATGCATATAGAGCGGGCAGATCGACAGAAACTGCTCTGTACCAGTTAACTGAGCTAATACAGGCAAGCCTGGATAGCAAAGAAACAGCACTTTGTGCCTTCTTGGACATTGCAGGGGCATTTGACAATATACCTCACAAGGTGGTCAAGCGATCTCTTGAAACAAGAGGGGTGAACAGTACGATAATTCGCTAGTTTTGGGAAATGCTCTTAACACGAACAGCTGAGGCTGAGATATGTACCAAAACTCTAGTTGTTAAAACAACGCAAGGAACTCCACAAGGTGGAGTGACCTCCCCCCTACTGTGGAGCTTGGTAGTGGATGAACTACTGGAAGAATTAACTCTAGCGGGAATACACTGCATAGGGTATGCAGATGACATAGCCATCATTGCAGGGGGGAAACATGAAGGTGCCCTGTGTGATATTATCCAAAGAGGACTCCGCTTCGCTGAGAGATGGTGCAGGACTGTCGGGCTGAGTATTAACTCAGATAAAACCGCAGTAGTGCCATTCACCAGAAAGCGAAGTTTGAAAAACTTGAAAAGAATCCATCTAGATGAAAAGGAAATACTGCCATCACAGGAAGTGAAATATCTGGGAATAACCCTGGATAGTAAATTTCTCTGGAACAGGCATATTAAGAACATTACCAGCAAAGCCACAATGACTCTCATGATATGCAGAAGACTGGTGGTGAATTTGCGCTGGATGTATACCATGATAGTAAGACCCATGATTACTTATGGAGCAGTTGCTTGGTATACAAAACTAGAGCAACGTACAGCAAGGCAAAACCTGTCCAAAGTACAGAGACTGGCATGTATCTGCATCACAGGTGCCATGAGAACATGTCCAACAACAGCAATGGAGGTCATTCCAGACCTAACACCACTGCACATTGTTGTCGGTAGTTATTGCGACAATGATTAGAATGGTCATTGACGGAAACAGTACTGCGAGAATTTTCAGGTCAAGGGCTTGGAACACCCTCAAAAAGAAAATTCCACTTCTCCAACTCCCAGTGGATGACATACCAAGAATTTACAACTTTGAGAAACACCTCACTGTAGTATTGAGTAATAAAAAGGATTGGAAGAAAGAAACGCTTACTCAGCATAAAAAAGACCATACCATCACGTGGTATACTGATGCTTCCAAAACCAAAGCAGGGACAGGGATAGGAGTATTTGGGCCGAAATCTAAATACTCCGAACCAATGGGTACCTACCCCAGTATCCTTCAGGCAGAAATTTGCGCTATCAACAGATGCGTACAATTTATCTTAGATATGAACTATCGAAAACAGGAAATTGCCATCCTATCCGATAGTCAAGCAGCACTTAACGCGATCAACTCAGTAACTATCAATTCGAAGTTGGTCAAATAATGCCTAGAGAAGCTTAACAAATTAGGCAAAGAAAATAAAGTCCTCCTACTCTTGGTGCCTGCTTACCAAGGGATAGAAGGCAATGAAAAAGAAAATGATCTAGCTAGAAAAGGAGCGAACACTCCACTAACTGGACCAGAACCGTTCTGTTTTCCAAACGGGAACCAACTGAAAGCGGAACTGAAGAATCTGGAAGACTCCATCCGTAACTTGGAATGGGTGTCCTCCAACGGTCTAAGACACTCGAAAAAGTTCCTCAGAACTTATGACCGAGAAAAATCAAAGGTTTTCCATGGTTTAAGTAAAAACAATCTTCGGATTGTCACGGGGTTTCTAACAGGACACTGTCTCCTCAACAAACACCGCAGTAGGCTGAAACTGAGAAACAACGGCAAATGCAGATTTTGTGGGGAAAATGGGGAAACACCAGAACACCTTATCACTGAGTGCGCCGAGACGACGACCATTCGTGCCATGAACCTTGGTATGTCTGATGTCGAGGATGGAGAGCTGGCCTCTGTAGAGCCGTCTCAGATACTGGCTTTTGTTAAAGCCCTGAGACTGTATGATGAGTTATAACTCGTTATAACTCAAGAAAGGCGAACACACAATAGATCTATAAGGTCGCGGTGATTAACTCCCCTCCTAAACATTCTACATTCTACAAGTCTTACAGTGGACCCCTGCCAACAGACGTAAACAAGGCCGACCTAAACTTTCCGGAATCGACAGAGCCATGTCGGAAAGTAACTTACTACCAGGAGATTTGGGACAACAGACGGAGGTGGCGCATGGAGACTGGAGGGCGATGAAGGACGCTGCGCTGTAAAAACCGGATATACATACATATATTTTTATAACTATTTCAATAACTACTAACATTAATTTATTGACAACGTGAAATGGTGTTCACAGATATAGGACCAGGAAATAAAAAACTTTTTATGTCAAAAATTACCAAAACAAAAGGTAACTGGTCCTAAACCTGCGAACGCCGTTTCATATATAACATAAGGACGCATAATACTACATTATTTATTGACAACGTAAAATAAAACAACAAATTATTGAGTCTACCTTATCTTATATTTTTGATTTTAGTTTTGAATAAAATTAGAACGGCCCTTATAAACCGGAATTTAAGTCGGCCATTTTAGGTCCCCATCGCGGTGCACCTAAGTTTTTTGATATGCTTCTTCCTTAATCTTTTTATTCAAAGAAAACAATTATAATCGATTGTCATTCCCCAGCCGTTTTTGTTTTTTTTCGATCATACAGTATGTATTATGTTATATAATATAGAAGCGTGAATATGTAAGCCATCATGATTAGAATTTCTGATCACGTTTAGTCGTATTTTCTCTACCTCTATATTTCTGTTTTGTTCCTAGTGCTCAATAATACCATAAATTAATGTGTCAGGTTCATATAGAGACAACAAATTTTCATATAACTTTTAACCCCATTTTACACAGTTCAATGTTTGTATGTAAATATACGGAAAGTGTTGTGTACAATGAACTATTTCGGTTGCCTCTGAATTGTTGATTTTTTTCCATCTTCTGCACTGGGGTTTAGACCTCACACACAACCCGTATAGAGGTTTGTTTGAAATGCTAAAATATATATTTTAGCATTAAACTTACCTGCGTCACTGTCTGCCGATAAACCTAAGCTGTTGGAGTTGTCGTTCACTAAGGCTTCAGTAGTGTTTGATAGAGTTTGAGGGGATAAAGTTAAGTCTTGAGCACTAGAAGAATCGAAGAAATCGAAAGAGGCCGTGACAGTATCTGTACCTGAAACAATAAAAAAATATAATTATAATTAATCAGTAGCGTACAATTTAAGATTAAAACTTTTGAATATACAGGGTTGTTCACCACATACGACACGGAGTATTGCAGCTAAACGATTAGATTTTTACAATTTGTAAGTTTTGGGTTCGTTGAAGGACTATTAGAGCTACAATTTAAAAATATTTTTACAAGATACAGAGTGTCCCAAATAAACAAAAAATATCAAAGTTTTATTTTTTTAAACGGAACACCCTGTATATTATTGCATTTTTAGTTTCTACGATTAAAATAAAGGTAAATTTGATTAAGGTTTATTACACTCAAACTTTACCGTTTTTGAAATATTTTCAATTTTGCGAAATTGTAGTATAAATTTTAAGGCTTCATTTCGCCGAGGATATCAAAGTTTTTAATACTAAATATTTACTGAAGTTTATTTATTGATCAGTTATTGTGTTGCAATAATAAAAATTATACTACTTTATACAGAGTGTCTAAAAATTTATTTTAAATAATTACTAGCTTTAAACGGCAATAATTTATTTAATTTAAACAGAACACCCTGTATATTTTATGAGAATCAGATGCACAATTTAATTGTCTATCAATTTGTATTATACCACTTCTTAACTACTCCTTCAAGTTTTCGTAGAAAATGCATTTTCTTATAATTTAGACCTCATTTATCAATATACCTATGGAAAATTGACATTTTAGATTGTTTTTACAACAACAAATGTACAAAATGTACAGGCTAGTAACATGGTACAAAGAATACAAGGTATGATATTGCGCAGGTTGGTCGCTACGTCACAGGTGATAACAGGCGCTATTGGTCAGCACGCTCCGCGCGCCGGTTCAAATCGTCAAGATATTGTTATCAACCTGTTTTTTTTGTTTATATACCGTCATTGAATTATCGCTAAGCAAGTTACTGTGGAGCAGTGCATAAGGAGTCGGGCTAGGAAGCGAGAGACCGGAGTTCGAATCTCGGCCGGAACATCACTTTTTATTTATTTTTTTAAATACTGTTGTGTTCTATAGTTTATTTTTGTAGTATAAAAAAAAGAACTATTTATTCTGTTTTTTTTTATTCTCCGTTATTAATATAAATTAATTGTTAGTACAATACCTCATTTAATATAAAATAATATTGTACTTTTTGAAATGTATCGGGCCCTAATTGTACCTAAAAGTAATATATTTTTAGTGATATACCATATTGTAAACTATTTAATATTTCAGTCACTTAAAAAGTTAATTTGCAGTGAATAATTCCGTACCATTAAAGGAAATTTGAGCTATATAACCCTTGATGGGCATATTCTGGGTATGCAAATACTTCCTTTAAATTTTGGGTGTCGTTCAACCGATTTATTCTCAAAACCAGAAACATCTACATATAAAAAGAAGCACAGGTCACTAATTATAATAAACTTCACCCTTGGTATTACTTCCACTAATTATAATAAACTTCACCCTTGGAATTACTTCTATCACAATTACAATACGTTAATCTGCATTGGCATTTTCTACTTTTGGATGGGAAACAATAAACTTCCCAACATTTTTTAAATGATGTAACAATTCCTCTTGTGGTTACTTTTCCATAGATATCCTCATCTCTGTCCTCATGTGAATTCAGAGGCAATAAAAATGAAAATTATTTACCATAAACATCGCAAACTAAAAACCTAATAAACAATTATTTTATACCGAATATAGAAATAAATTTAGTATTTTTACCTATTATCGTCCAAATCCATGTTAATAGATAATTATTATTTTTAAATATATTTTTGGAACTGCTGGTTTTAGTAATTATTAAATTAAACGAACTAAAAAGTCTTAAAAATAAACAATTCTTAACCATAACCTCAAAAATGCAGATCTCCTGTCAACTTTCTTTATTTTTTATTTATTCATTATTTTCCTAGTGACGTCACAGGTGGTATGCGCGAACTGAACGAAATTGGAGCCGCTATCGATCATACCTTGTATTCTTTGTACCATGGGCTAGTAATATTATCGTTTTTAGTAAAACGATAATATTACTAGCCCATTTGTATGCAAAAAGAAAACTATTTAAATCTTTATAAAAGAGTATACCATTAATTAAATATACCACCAGTATTTCTGCCCAAATACTAATTAACTACATGCTTAATTGTGTTCGTTAATAAATTATTCTAAATAAATGTGGATTTGAATCAGTAATCAATATAATAATAAGTTATGAAAATGAACGTCTCTGTTGTTATAAATAAGCATTTGTCAAAAAATTAAATATCATTTTTAAGGTGTTACTTTTTACCGCACTGTCTAATACACATACATAATTCAGTTTTTTAGTTTTTGGAGCAATTATTATTAATCAACGCAAACAGTCAATTAATGTAGTTTGAATACTGGAATCATATTAATTGGTCCTCTTTAACAAATATTTAAACAGGTTTTTTTTTTTTTTAATGAAATAAACGAACTATATCGACAACATTAGTATTTGTACTCTTTGAAAATTTGGTACATCTTTAAAAATAATCTAAAATGTTAGTATTCCATGGGTATATTGATAAATGAGTTCTAAATTACAAGAAAATGCATTTTCTATAGAAACTTGAAGAGATAGGTAAAAAATGGTATAATACAATTTGATAGACAATTAAATTGTGTATCTGATTCTCACATATATACAGGGTGTTCCATTTAAATTAAACAAGTTATTGCCATTTAAAGCTAGTAATTATTTAAAATAAATTTTTAGACACTCTGTATAAGGTAGTAAAGTTTTTATTATTGCAACACAATAACTGATCAATAAATAAACTTCAGTAAATATTTAGTATTAAAAACTTTGATACTCTTGGAGAAATGAAGCCTTAAAATTTATAATGCAATTTCACAAAATTAAAAATATTTCAAAAACGGTAAGGTTTAAGTGTAATAAACCTTAATCAAATTTACCTTTATTTTAATCGTAGAAACTAAAAATGTAATAATATATAGGGGGTTCCATTTAAAAAAATACAACTTTGATATTTTTTATTTATTTGGGACACTCTGTATCTTGTAAAAATATTTTTAAATTGTAGCTCTAATAGTCCTTCAACGAACCCAAAATTTACAATTTGTAAAAATCTAATCGTTTAGTTACAATACTCCGTGCCGTATGTGGTGAACAACCCTGTATAAATAACCAAAGCAGATCAAACCAATTCAAAACACTTACATTTAACATAGTATTAAGAGTAAAGTAGAGGTGGGCAAAGATTGAAAACGAGTCGTTTATTTGAACGAGTATTAAAAATGAATCGTGAGATTCGATTCACTGCTTAGAATATACGGTTCGTTCAATTGAATCATGGCCAGCACGGATCCATAAAATTTGAACGAGCAGTAAAAAGAGTCGTGAGAATTGAAACGGATCACAATTGATTAGTTGTTGGTAGTAAAGGCATAGAGAGAGTCGGGCACCAATATTTAGACTCTAAGCAAAGATCATGGGCATAAAATGCAAACGATAAGAAAGTTATTTACAAGAAAAAAACTTATTTATTCTGTGCTTAATCGGGAGTATCTGTAATGCATTTAATTTTCACGTTAATATTTCTGTTAAAATAATATTTACCGACTATAAACCATTAAATGTCGGACTAAAAAACGAAATCGTGCTTATATGCAACTCCAAATAAATATTGGTCTCTGCTCAATATGATGAAAAAACGGCGTCAGCGATGGTTATGAAATGAATATCGCTGTCATTTTATATGTAAAATTATATGGGGAATATCATCGATATTTATTTCCAAGCCAACTGGACGCCAATATTTTCGATCATGCGGTATTATACAGGCTGTTAATTTGTTTATTACTCGCAGCAAGAGCTTTATGGTTGAAATATGGCAATCGCGGCCCGCTCGTCGATAGACGACGCGACGGGACGACTCGGCAGAAAACCCTATAAATGCATGCGTTCTCAATAGCCAGTTTTGCCATTCTGTTCCCCTATAAGTAACTGTCCAGTTAACAGTCTGCATACTATTAATTATTTGATTATTAAATCGGAATTAAAATATGCTCTAAAATTATCAAATTGGTATTAATAAAAAGTCTTAAATAAATAGTATATATGAATTGAATTGATAACTTAATATTATTGGTAAAATAATCAATCCAATTACGCCAGTGCCATAAAGCGTTGAAAAACAAGTGAAAGAACTGTATATTTCTTTTACTGGTCCCTTAAGTGATTGTCCGACCAAATTATCGCCGGTAGTTCCAGTTACGATTCTTGTTTTTATGAAACGTAAATTGTGCATGTGATTCGTTAAAGTAAATACCAAATATAGCTTTGATTTCAGGACAGGTTCTTATATTTTTAATATTTTTTTTAAGAAAGGCTGAAAAAAAAATATTTTATTTGTTTATTAACATCTCCAAAAATATCGAAATATATTTACTAATATCTTAGAATTATGTAAAGTGAATATGAAGTAATATGAAGCCAAAAATGCAATAATATACAGGGTGTTCCGTTTAAAAAAAAACATCCTGATCCATTGACACTTTTTTGAGCCACCCTGTAAAAGTTAAAATATTTTTCAGAAATACATCCTTGTACATACTTTAGGTTTGCACTTAAACAAAATTCCGAAGTTTTTTTATTCTAGGAGCTACAGATGCAAACCAACCAAACCCTGTACATAAAAACAGCTAGAAACATCGAATTTTGTTTATCGATTAGATCATTATCTAATCGGCATGCCAAGTCCACAGGCCCAGTTCAACGACAAAAATACAAGAGGTTTGGTACGTGACAGGCTAAGTCCGCAGATCGGGTCCGCAAGCAAATTAGAAACATATTATTTCAAGACAAGTTTTTTTTTAATTTCTAATTTTAGGATGACAGTTCAAAATTTAGAAATATTTTTTTTGAAAAACTTTAAACATCTTTTTTGGAAAACTGAAACCACTCTAAGGATGTCCATTTTATGACCATT